GATGGGGCCAGCCAGCCACCCAAGGGAGAATATCTCAGCAGTAACCAACAGACCCCAGGAGAACTGAAGAGCTCTGCCACCCCAGGGAACTTGGGTTATCTCTAGCATAGGTGGAGGGAGCCATCTGGCACAGAAATGAAGTGCAGCTTCAGGGAGGGATGCTGGAAGTAAAACTTTCAAGTGAGGTAAGAGGAAGGACAGCAGTCATAGGAGGAAACATGAGAAGAGAGAGCTTGAAGAACAAAGCAGTTTTTGCACACAGCCAAAGCAATGGTTGACTGGGCACTATGAACTTGGTCTAAAGGACCAGAACATTGCCACAGACAGGATGGTTTGCTCAGAAGCCCAAGAAGATGTTAGGTAGCACATCAAGGGAGATGTGCTCTGCAGCCTGGGAAGTAGGGGGCTGCTGGGAAAGGTAAAAGTGGGAAGAGCAGGCAGGCTGGTATCACCACCAAATCGAGAGGAGAAGTCAAACAAGGCCACTTTAGCCCAGAGACACCCAAAAGCCAGAGGCAACAGAGCAGTGTTGGAAGTATGCACCAAATCCTGGAGTCTGCCCACTCAAGCAGAAGTGAGGGCATGCAGCCCACCTTGTGGGGCCAGGGTAAGCTGTTCCCATAGGGAAGTGAGAGGGGAAGCACTGAAGCAGCCACAGGAGTACTCTAAAGGCCTGAAGTCAACAAAAAAAACAGACTCCAGTGTAAAATGAGGGCTAGTTAGTCCAGGACATGAAAAGCAACAAGCAAAGGCTCCATAAGTACATTAGCAGGAAACAATGGGGAATGTCAGTCTAGTCCTTATCGACAGAGAAAACAAAAGCCAGCCTAACTCGCTGTAGCAGCTAACACAGGCTTTGTTCCAGCCATCATAAAAACACTCCTGGTGATCAGACAGGCCACAGACCACGTTTGAAGTGTTTAAACAAGGGTGCAGGAGCACAGGGAGGGAAAGGGCACACTGGAATGGAGGGGTTTGACAATCATATAGATAACACGGTTACATCCATATTGCTAAAGGCTTGCTGCAAAACAAGTACACATGCTTAATGCTCCTGCAGACCCTGAAATGTTGACAGTTCTCTGTGACGAGAAGCAAGGAAGGATAAATCTTGTAACTATCTTCAAAAACAGAGAAGGGAGAACTCGGAATTACAGTCTGCTAACCCCCATTCCCTTAAGCAGTTCAGGTTTGTGAATGATTAGGTCATAACCCTGCAAAGGATAACAGGGTCATTAAATAGCTGGTGCAGATCAGTTAATGCCTGATTACCTTAAGCCAATCTGTTTCCCTTCCCTGACCTGATAACTGGCCTGTCAGATAAGGGAGAAGTGGTGGATATGATGTGCCTTGGCGATGGTGAGGATTTCAACACACTCTCACATGACACACTCAATCAGACTGAGAAAATACTGTGGAAATTGCACAACAGGCTGCATAGCTGCACTCCAAGGACAATAGGTAATACCTGGCTGATACAATAAAAGCCCTTTAAAGCACAGCCTGCAGGAGTCTGTCCTGACCCCTCCTCTATCCAAATGCTGACATTAAGGTGGATAAAGGAAGAATCCTCATGCTTATAAAATATATGTGTGTGTTGCCAGGCTGCAACTTAGTACGATTCAGACTCATTCTGATCAAGCAGAGAAGCAGTCCAAATTCAACCAGACAAAATTCACCAAAGGCAAATGCAAAGTGCTGTGGCCAAAACAAGGGAAACAGTGCACAAATGCAGAAGAGGGAGTAACAGCTGTGACAGCCATTCTGCCCAGCTGCATTTGGGGTGGCAGAAACCATAGATTCTGTATGAAGAAGGATGCTGGGAGCTGAAGTGCCATGCCTAAGGAAAAAGAGGGTCTTCATCTGCTCTGTTGAGTTCCTGAGGCCTCAGCTGGCTTGGGGAGATGCACTGTGAAAAGGATTGAGACATGGCATAGGGATGCAGAGGAAATGCAGAGAGAAGTTTTAGAGACCATGTCTCATAGGGCAGGGTGGAAAGTGAGGAATTTCACCAGGGCAGTGGTGAACGTAGAGGACATTAATCACCCTAACAGTAGCTGGTGATGTACAAGAGTGTTATGTAAAGACAGGAGCCATCAGCTGCTCCCGGTGATGCCCAGAGGTATCCTGACCTAGCTGTCAGCAGAAAGTGGCTGGCTGAACCTCCAGGAGGGCCCTCCCAGCTGTACGGCAAGGAACGGCCGGGAGAGCCCAACTGCTCCGGCAGCTGTCCCAGCCAGCACCACCAGGGAGCAGCCACACCGCGCCCGCAGCGCCCGCCGCACTCACCCACGCACGCCATGCGGGTCATGTCCAGTTGGAAGCCGTCGAAGCAGTCGCAGGTGTAGCCCTCTCGGACACGCACACACCGCCCGTTCTCGCAGCCGTTGAGGATCCCGCACTCCTCTGCCTGCAGCCCCTCAAAACCCTCGTAGAGACCTAGAGCGGGGCAAGGTGGGTCAGAGCAGAGC